GGGGAGTGGGAGAGGGAGAAGCAGGCTTCCCGCGGAGCAGGGAGCCCGATGCAGGGCTCGATCCCAGGACCCTGGGACCGTGACCTGAGCCGAAGGCAGAGGCTTCACTGACTGAGCCAGCCAGGTGCCCCACCAAGGGACACCTCTTTACCTCATCGGGTTCATTGAAGACACAAAAAGGTCCTTCATACTCTGGTTTGGGGGTGAACTCGAAATCTTCAACATCTTCTGAAACGATCTCCCTGTTGGTGATGAGATAGCCCTGGGAAGTGCACGAGCCGTTGGCACGAGTTAGGACACACAAAGCCAAAACACACCTCTCCGCTTTTGGCCCAGAAGCTCCTGCTACAAGCATCTGCAGCAATGGGAAGGCACCCCAGCTCTCCCAAGAAGAGCCCCGAGTGTCTCAAGTTTCTGTTGGAAGGAGCATGGCTGGTTTGTTCACTTTCCTGGACTCAACTCACTAATTTTTCACCCAAAATATACTAAGCATAGGGTGGATGCTGCTCTGGTTTAGGGACTAGACAAGGTTCCTGCTCCTACGAAGCTTACATCCCAAAAGGTACCACTTACCTGACCATCAATCATATAAGAAATCATCATAATCTGGTCAGTCTCAGGGTCGGGAAACTTGAGGGGCAGTTTGGTCGTCTCGATGTCAAATGCCAATACCACAGGGTCCTGCAGGGACACAATGTCTCATTAAGTTGGAGAGAAACCAAGCCGAGCTCTAGAGATCTCAGTGGTCTTCTCAACACCTACCACCTCCACCTCTAGCTGCTAAAAGAGTTGAGCTGCCACAGGGAGAGGTTCCAAAAGAAGTGAGACAGGCATTTTGGGGTTGACTGAGCTATATCAAGAATGCCATGATTCACGGATGGCATAAAAACTTAAACACATACAAGAGGTTAGAGCATGACAGGAAAATCCTAGAATTATGGAACACCTGAGTCTCAACATGCTTGAAAATGCATGACCTTATTTTGACCTTTATGACAACCCAGATAGATCATGGTACAGAGCTGACATCTCCGTTTTGGAAATGAGAAAACAGGAATACAGACTTGCCCAAGAACACAAAGCCGTCCCTGAACCAAAGCCTTCCAGTTATAAATCCATTTTTCACCACATCACTTTGCTATCAACCACCCAAAATGGAAGACAGAGCTTTCCCTCAAATATTCAGATCCAGCCCAGCTCAAACACGGACATCACAAATTATACTCGGTCAGAAACAGACAAAAAAAAATTTTTTTTTCTACAACTTTTTAAAGAAAGTATTTGAGGAAAAAGAAGAAAAATCTCTGAATCAAATTCATCCTTCAGCACCGAATGAGACCTCTCCAGAAACAAGTGGAAAAGTCAGGATGGAGGAAATGCAAGCAGTACTCACGGGTCGTTCAACAAGGTCATCTCGTCGGGCGATTTCCACAGGAAAGGCGCTTCCTCGGTACCTGACGTTGTACCAGTGAGCCTGAAGGACGGGTAGCACGTTAATAAAGAGCTCTGCATCTGTCCCAGGAGGTGTATTTCTCTACGGATTTATCCTTTCAGGGTCACCTCCTGACTGTCCAGCTGCCTGAAAGGGACGGCCGACTCACCACATGGATCTTCAGGTCAATGGAGAGGCGGATGTGGTAGGGCACATCATACTCCCGCATGTCCACAATGTTATCCAACTGGTCAGTGACCTTCTTAGAGGCTTCCTCTTCATCAATAACCACACTGCCCCCTTGCAGAACACTGCAAAACGGAGAGAGGCCAGCTTACTCAACTATACTCTGCTTGGGGTCGGAACAGGGGGAAGACCAGAGTCCACATGGAGTAAACACAGAAGGTAAATTGAGGTAGCAGAGATGACCAGACAGGCCCTTATTAAAGATGACCTCAGATGACACCGTCCCACAGCAGTAGGTCAGGCCGGAAATTCCGTACACACTTAGGACGTGTATTTTATAGAACGTAAGTTAAAAACTTAAAAAACTGGGGTGCCTAGGTGGCTCAGTCAGTTAAGCGTCTGCCTTGGGCTCAGGTCATGATTCCAGGGTCCTAGGATTAAGCCCCGCATCGGGCTCCCCTCCCTGCTCAGCAGTGAGCTGGCTTGGGATTCTCTCTCTCCCTCTGCCCCTCCCCATGCTCACACTCGCTCTCTCTCTCAAATAAATAAATCTTTAAATAAAAAAAGTGGTGTCATTGGGAATCCAAAATGTCTTTACTATCACAGCAACTCAAACTTCGGAGCCACAAATCCGCCCCTATGTAAGAAAGAGGTGTGGCTAAGATACAACCCAGGAAACCACTATTTATTTAACACAAATGCAGCACATAAGAAATTCTACCTAGGCTGGGGCACCTGGGTGGCTTGGTTGGGGGTTCGCCTCTTGATTTTGGCTCAGGTCATGATCTCAAGATGGTGAGATCGAGCCCCATGTTGGGATCCATGCTGGGCGTGGAGCCTCCTTAGAATTCTCTTTCCCTCTGCCCCTCCCCCCCCGCTCACATTCTCTTGCTCTCTCTCAAAAAAGTAAAACAGATAAATAACTAAAAATTTAAAAAAAGAAATTCTACCTAATTGCTTGCAAGTGTTTCTACACTAAACAGAGCTAATCCTTAAGGTAACTTTATTGCTAGGTTTTCCTTTTTCCTATCCATCCTGTCAACGTAGGAAACATGGGAAACAGTCCTTGTGGACTGCCTGGGGGCTCTGCTTACAAGAAGGCTTACCTGGAGAGCATAGCTGTGTAGGCATCACTGGCATGGCCCTGCTCCCGGTTCTTCTTCACGGCGGGGGAGACATCCTTCCTCACTCTGACAAGATCCTCCACGGTGTTGAAGGACAGCTTAATGTAATTTCGCTTCAAACCCACCAAGTGATTTGGCTACAAAGTGATGAGATTGTGCTCATGAGTTCAAGAGAAAAAGGGCTTTATTGGGGTAAGAAAATAAGGGGAGAACAACTCAAAGGTAAATACATGAGCAGAAATGTTTGAAGTCCAAAGCATCTTGTCCAACTCTGCATGTGGCACAACTAAACCACCAAAGTTCTCTACGAGGACGTATGGACAGTCACCAAAGCCCCATCATCCGTACACCATCCCACAGGTGCTAAACTTGGCCTCTTCCATCTCACCCCAGGGGCAAGGTAAACCAAACTCATTTACCCTGGTGGGTCCAGGTGATACTCACCAAGTCCAGATCCTCTTTGGGGACAGTCTCTGTTTTAGCAATTTTACCCTGAAACTTCTTGGAGAGAAAAGATGAAACTTCTCGTTCACAACCCTAAATTGAGATCAAAATGAAAAAACTTCCTATTAGTAAAATCTGCTGTCTTCCTTGCCCGTTTCTCTAGAGGCCTCTTTACTTTCAGTTCTGAAACACACACACAAACACACACACACACCCATAAAATGAGGCACAGGTCGTGTAACCTGATTCTATGGACCACAGACTTACCTTTCTGGTTGCAATGTAGAAATATGGCTTGTAGGGCAAGGCGACCTGCAAGAGCCACGAACCCATTCAGGGGCAATGAGAAAGAAAAAAGGGAGATAAGTGAAGACAGGCTGTTTGCTGCTATCCCCACAAGCTGCCCAGATCTAACGTATCTTTGACCTTGACATCTCTTACAAGGTGACGTAGTCCGGAATTAGCACCTGCGCATACGGTAGGGGCAAAAGTCTGAGAGAGACAAAACTGCTCCTCCCTCAGTCTTTCCAAGCTGGTTCTCTTATGACATCGTAAATGGTGACCCATGTGGCTCCAAGGGGTCCACATCCCCAACAGGCTTCGGGCAGCTGCACACCAGAAGCCTCTCAACCCCTCTCCTCCCACTTAAATGAACACCTACCACTTTGGACCCAGCTACATCTCATCACTGAGTGGGTCTTAGCTTCTTGGGGTTCAAGGCCTTACCTTAAATCTGCTCCCATCATCTTGAATAAAGTAGTAATCCACTGCACTGACTAAGCGTTTGTCTTCATCTAAAATCTCAGTCTACAAGAGAATCAGTCAACACGGGCACCAAGTTATCCCCTACGCAGTATAAGAACCCTCTTGCTCCTCCTCTTTGGAAAACTGAGCACCGAACAAAATCTTTCTCCACCCCCGCATAAACATTCCCCATTCACAAGAACTGCATCACAACATCTTCCAAGTGTGATTTCTCTCAATCTCTCTCTCATTCTTGAAAATTTTTTATAGGTTAACAGGGACCCCCCTGAGCTTTGTTTTCCCAGTAGCTTCTTTACAGCCCAGTGATGTTGAAGAAGAAAGGAGGAGAGCTACAAACAATCCCACCTCCACCTGCACCACCCACTCTTCAAAGGCCTAAGCCAGCAGCCGCCCAGGTTCTTACAGGGTGCATGTTGATGAGCCAGCCTGTCTTCTCACCAGGCTCCTTGAGTCTCTCAAAACCAAACCGCAAATCCATCTTATCTGTCCACTGACTGCGCTCCAGGCGCTTAAGTGCCGAGACAGAGGAAGAGGGGCCATCATCCCTGAATAAAAGGAGGGAAATCCTATCTTCACTGATCATGACTCTTATCTATTCCCGAAACCCTCAGTCCAACCAGTGTAAGCATTTTGGATGCAACACAGTAGATGCATCCCTGAAAAACCTTGTATTTGGCAAAACAGTTCATTAAAGTAACAGAAGGGGCGCCTGGGTGGCTCAGATGGTTGAGCGTCTGCCTTCGGCTCAGGTCATGATCCCAGGGTCCTGGGATCGGGTCCCGCATCAGGCTCCCTGCTCCTTGGGAGCCTGCTTCTCCCTCTGCCTCTCTCTCTCTCTCTCTCTCTGTCTCTCATGAATAAATAAATAAAATCTTTTAAAAAATAAATAAATAAATAAAGTAACAGAAGTCATGGGAAACATGACTGGGGCAGCAGCCTCAAAACCCGTTCAACTCTGTAACCAGAACACTGATAAAAACAACCATCATGGCTAGATGCTGCTGCCTTATGGGATATTAAAAATGTACAGGGGCACCTGGGTGGCTAAGTCAGCTCAGTGCCCGACTCTTGATTTTGGCTCAGGTCATGATCTCAGGGTCGTGAGACTGAGCCCTGCATTGGGCTCCACGTTGGGAATGGAGCCTGCTTAAGATTCTCTCTCTCCCTCTGCCCCCTTCCTGGGCATTTATCCCAGAGGAAGGAAAACTCACATTCATACAAAAACTCCTGTGTGAACATTCATACCACTTTATTCATTACAGCCAAAAAGCGGAAACAACCGAGATACTACCTACAGATAAATAATTAACCTACGTCATATCCATCCCGTGGAATACTATCCATCGATAAAATAGAAAAAATTTACTGATTCATGCAATAACCTGGACGGATCTCAAGGGCATTATGTGGAATGAAAAAAGCCAATCCCCCCAAATTATACACTTTATAATGCAACTTACGTAGAGTTCTTGAAATAAAATTAGAGGTGGAGAACAGATTAGTAGCTGCCATAGATGAGGAAGAGGGAGGAATGAAGGTGGCCGTGGCTATAAAAGGGTAGCAGGAGGGGTGCTGGGGATAGAATTGTTCCGTGTCTTAATTGTCGTGGTGGTCACAAACACACAACGTGCACAGAACTAAGTACACGCACATACGTAACTGAGTATCCATGCATTGCATGAACATCAATTTCCTGGTTGTGACCTAGTGTTCTAGTAACTGAGATGTTACCACTGGGGGAAACTGCCTCATGGGTGTATGGGATCGCTCTGTGTAATTTCTTTTTTTTTTAAGATTTCTTTTTTTTTTTAAGATTTTTATTTATTAATTGATTTGACAGAGAGAGAGAGATGGCGAGAGACGGAACACAAGCAGGGGGAGTGGGAGAGGGAGAGGCAGGCTTCCCACTGAGCAGGGAGCCCAATGCGGGACCTGAGCCGAAAGCAGACGCTTAACCAACTGAGCCACTCAGGCATCCCCTCTCTGTAATTTCTTACAACTGCATAATAATCTACAATTAATTCAAAACAAAAAAGTTGTTGCTTTGTATTTTTAAAATGAGAGTTCTTAAATTTATTACTAGTTTCTTGTAAAATGAAATTAACCACATCTACCACACAAGACTTTCATGCACGTTATAAAAAACAATGAAAACTGCAAAGCTCGCACCACAGTACAAAAAAAGCAAGAACTTTGATGACCAATTTGGACGGGATTCTAGTTCTGCCAAAAAACGAGCGGTGACAGATCATATACATATGGTAAGCAGATAGGCTTCTTTGTATACAGCGGGCACTCAACCAACAGCATTTACGATATTTATTGAAGATCAACACAAACAGAAGAAAATAACTACTTTTGTTATATACAAGGCAAACTTCTGCAACGGACACATCTGAAAGAAATTACTTGAACGATCTGCTCCGACTTGTTTCCATTCCCAAAGCGTGCGCCGGGGAGGCACACACTGACCGCTGTCCCGGCCCCTTTAGGGCACAAGCGGCCACGCGCGCGCACACCGCCCAGTCCCCCGCACGGCCCCAGAGGCGAACTCCGCGCGCGCCCACCGCCCAGTCCCCCGCACGGCCCCGGAGGCGAACCCCGCGCGCGCACACCAACTAGTCCCCCGCACGGCCCGGGCGCGGCCCCGCGTACGCCCACCGCCCAGTCCCCCGCACGGCCCCGGAGGCGAACCCCGAGCGCGCACACCGCCCAGTCCCCCGCACGGCCCCGGAGGCGAACCCCGAGCGCGCACACCGCCCAGTTCCCCGCACGGCCCGGGCGCGGCCCCGCGCACGCCCACCGCCCAGTCCCCCGCACGGCCCCGGAGGCGAACCCCGCGCGCGCACACCGCCCAGTCCCCCGCACGGCCCCGGAGGCGAACCCCGCGCGCGCACACCGCCCAGTCCCCCGCACGGCCCGGGCGCGGCCCCGCGAGCCGGGAGGGAGGCGAGGCGAGGAGCGTGCGCGCGCGCTGTGATCGCGGCGATGCCGGTCTCCCGCCCCCACCCCGGTCCGCAGGCGCTGAGAGGCGGCCCCATCCGCTCCGCCGCCGACTCGCCGGCCGCGCTTCCACAGAAGCCTGTCCTCAGTGCGCGGAAACCAGAGCGAACGCAGGAGGACCGCGCCGCTGGGTGGCGGCCTGCGGAGGACCGCCACGGCTGCGCGCCAGGAGCTCCGCACAAGGCAGGCCCGCCCGCCGCCCGCCCCGGCGCCCCTCACCGGCTGCTCTCGCCGTCCGGCCCCGGCTCCGCGCGCCGCCGCCCGGTGTTCCTCAGAACCATTGCGCCGCGCCCAGGCCGCCGCCGCTCTCCCGGAGAAATTTGGCGCGCTCCCACCAACTCTCGCGAGAGGAGAGAGCGGAAGCGCCCGCCGCCCAATCGGGAGGCTCGCCGCGCCCCGCCCCACCGAGCTCCTATTGCCGCCGGCGCCGGAGGGGAGGTGGCCTGATAGGGACTCAGGGAAAAGTGTGTGGACGCGCGAGCCGCGCACGGCGGGGTCTGCCCGGGGCCGCGCTGCGGGCCGCGGCGGGGCGGGAAATGGGAGGCCATCCCCGCGCCCGGGCGGGCGTGAGGCGGGGTCGGGGGCCCGAGCGGCCGCGGTGCTGGGGAGGCGATGGCGCCGACGGCGTCGAAGCTGCGGGCCGGGGCCGGGCTCGGGGCGCTGCCGCAGCGGGCTCTCGCCCAGTACCTGCGCCTCCTGCGGCTCTACCCGGTGCTCACCAAGGCGGCCACCAGGTCGGCGCGGAGGGGTCGGGCCCGGGCGGGGGGCGGCCCGGAGCTCGGCCGGCCTCGGGGACGCAGCCCCGTGGACGCATTCTGTGCGGGGATTTGAATGCGAAAGGCAAGATGCCGCGAGTCAGACGACCCCCCAAAGCCTTGCACCAGCCGGACAGCTCGGCGTAGGCGGCTTTGTGCGTTCGGTTCTGACAGGTCGTTGCCAGGGAGCCAGACCAAAGGAAGGCACCGACCGAGGGTGTCAGGCCCCCTTCCCTGGAGGTCCTCTCCCGAAGGTGCGTGGGTTCGGACCAGCGGTCCACGTCCGGCCCACCTCCCCTTGGCGGCCGCAGCCGGACGGCTCGTTGGCACCTGCGCTCGTTCCGAGGTCGGGGCGTTCGGGTCCGTGTCTCGAGCGGCACCCTCAGCCTGGGCGGGGCGGCGGGTGTTTGCTTTCCTTGTCTTAGCAGCTTTGCATTTGGGGGAAAGGTGACAAAAGGCCCCTCTGCCCGGGTCTGCTGGTCCGTTGCACCCTTTGATTTGGGGTTCTAAACTTTTTATGAGACATCGTTCTCCCTCGTTAGCTTTAACCAGTTAATTTTATAAGTTCATCCCCTCTTATTAAATGCAGCCTTTCGTAAATATGTACAGCATGCTTCCGGGGAGTGAAGCACCAGCATTAAGCTAGGAAGGGAAGGTCCCTACCTCAGTGGGCTTTCTATTCTAGTGAGAAACCAGACAAAAAGCGAGATAAACAGGGAGGTCAGGGAGGTGTTATCTGAGGAGGTGACATTGGAACAGAGACCTGAAGGAGGGAAAGCAAAAGCTCTCTGGGCAGAGGGTACCCAGTGCAAAGGTCCTGAGGGAGGAGCAAGCTAACAATGGAGCAGTGGAAAGAAGGTCTGTGTTGCTGCAGAAAATGAACAGTGAGGAAGGGACCAGATGAGAAGGAGGTGGCCAAGGATCAGATCAAGAAGGTCCTTATCAGCCATACAAAGAATTTTGGATTTTTTAGCACACAGAGCTTATCAGAAGGTAACTATAGACCAAACCTTGGAGCACCTGGGCCCATCTCCACCTTTCTACTGAAATTTATATTGTAATTGTAGGTTTACATGCGGTTGTAAGAAATAATACAGGGAGATCCCTTGTACACTTTGCCCAGTCTCCCCCACTGGTAACATTTTGTAACCCTGTAGTGCAGTATCACACCCAGGACACTGGCAGGTGCAGTCCACAGACCAGGGGTGTGTGTGTGTCTGTCTGTCTGTGTGTGAAGTCCTACTGTCTCCACCTTTTGATGTAGGAACCTTATACCAGGGCTGCTTTAGAAAGGACTCGTTTCTCCCCATCCCACACTGCTCTCCACACAGCCGTGCCGATTACATACAGGAACGGGCCACCCTCCTGCTGCTTTCTCCTGTTCTCTGATTACCTCTCTGTCCACAGTGGCATTTTGTCAGCACTTGGGAACTTCCTGGCCCAGTTGATTGTGAAGAAGCGAGAAAAAGAAAACTCCCAAAAGCTAGATGTCATTGGGCCTCTCAGATATGCCATTTATGGGTGAGTTCATCAAGGGGCTGGTCTACCCAGTAGCAGACTGATTGCAACAAAGTGAGGGTATAAGACCAAGTTTCTGAAATAACCTAATTTGGGGGAATAATTTTTTTTTTTAAGATTTATTTGACAGAGAGAGACAGCGAGAGAGGGAACGCAAGCAGGGGGAGTGGGAGAGGGAGAAGCAGGCTTCCCGCCGAGCAGGGAGCCCGATGCGGGGCTCGATCCCAGGACCCTGGGATCATGACCTGAGCCGAAGGCAGACGCTTAAGGACTGAGCCACCCAGGTGCCCCTTGCTGCTAGTTTTTTCTCCCCTTCTCCCTTGCCTTCTTTTTGATTAATCAAGCATTTTATTTACATTTTTTTTAAGATTTTATTTGTCAGAGAGAGGGAGGGTGCACAAGCAGGGGGAGCAGCAGAGGGGGAAGCAGGCTTCCCTGCTGAGCAGGGAGCCTGATGCAGGGCTCGATCCCAGGACCCTGGGATCATGACCTGAGCCAAAGGCATCTATGCTTAATGACTGAGCCACCCAGGCGCCCCTGGAGAAATAATTTTTAAAAAAGCATTGAAGTAATCATGGGAAAAATCAGAATGGTGGATAATGTGAACTTGTTTTATGGTTTTCCTTTTGAATTGCTTGGGTGGGGGTGGCTGTCTTCATTGGGCTGAGAGATCTGAGGGCAGATAATTCACCTAAACCTAAGTTAGCCTTCAAGACACAAAGACCGTGAAAGAGGAAAACAGACTCAAATATGGTCAGTTGTTTCCGTTATTTTCATAGTGTAAGCATCCAGAAAATAAATACTTAGGTATCCTGAAAAGTGTCCAGTTTCTTAACCACTTTTGGAATTGCAAAGACCACAGGGATTCCGTTTTACCAATTAAGTCTTCCCTGAGTTCTCTGGCCAACAATAGTGTTTGTATAGATGGATTATTTTGAAGTCCTTTGGAACAAGAGTCATTTTTTCAATTTAAAATTCAGAAATACCACTTTGTATTTGTAAGCATGTTGGTTGCGGTCATCACAACGTTTCCATAATGTGGTTAAAGCCATAATCACCCTGGAGGGAGGGAGGGTGTCAGAATCCCCTGGGAAGCGTTACTCACAGTTTCCATCTTCAAGACTTCTGTTCCCTCTCAAGGCCCCTCTAGCTCGGTCAGTAGAGCATGCAACTCTTGATCTTGGGGTCTTGAGTTCGAGCCCCACGTTGGTTGGAGAGATCACTAAAGAATAAATAAAGTTAAGACTCTGTTCCTTCTCACTAAGGACCCCTGCTCTAGGCCACTTAACCTGTGGAAGGATAGGAAGCAACAGCTGAGAACCACTTGTGTAAGGACTTCCAGTGTCAAAAATTGGAAGAGCCCTGAGTCCCTGCCCATCTTTTTACTGCTGAATTTTACAGAGCTACGGGTCTGTTGTACCAGTAGATGCAGTGGCTGTGTTCAGTTCTGTCCCAAGTACTCTACCCTTGGGAACGCATAGTGTCAGTACAGACAAGCCAGTGCACGGCACCAGGTTTCACTTTTGCTAACTACCCAAGAGGGTTTGATGAAAAGCTCTGACACCAGGGATGCATCCACTTGTTTATCCTTGAGCACCTTCTCTGAGCCAGGCCATGTTCTAGGCACTGTGGACACAGCAGTGAACAGACAGGCACAATCCTGTCCTGGGATGTTTACCTCTATTCAGCAAAGAGGGTCCCATATGACTAAACAGATGAGATCATGACATATGGTGACACAGGCTATGAAGACAGTGAGACAGGACCTGGACTAGAGAGTGGCCGGGACAAGGGTGGGTTCATTGTCCAGAACAATCATGAACAAAGTCCCCCAGCTGACAGTGTTGAAAAGGAGCTGGCCACATGGAAATTGATGGGAGATGCAAGGCAGGTCTACCAGAGACAAAAAAAAAAAGAATGCTTGAAGCAGATTCAAAGAAAGCCTGTTTTCTAGAAGGACCACGCAGACCTGTGTGGTCAGTGATGGGAGGCTCCAGGGAGGCAGGTTTTAGGACTTGGGGTTTGGGGGTGAAGCTGGACCCAAGAAGGGCACACCCAGAGAATGGCGGTCCTGCTCACCCCCACCGCGCGTCCTCAGGTTCTTCTTCACAGGGCCACTGAGTCACTTCTTCTACCTCTTCATGGAGCACTGGATCCCTTCCGAGGTCCCCTTGGCTGGTGTCCGGAGGCTGCTCCTGGACCGCCTCCTCTTCGCGCCGGCCCTCCTGTTGTTGTTCTTCCTCACCATGAACTTCCTGGAGGTTGGTCTCTGCCGTAGCTCTTTGTTTGGCACAGCGATGCTCATCCTGGCGTCTGTGGGTGGAAATCAGAGGGCCTGTGAACTTTTCAGTACACTCAGATGGAAATTCCTCACTTTCCTTCATGAACGTCAGACACAAACCACGGTTACGTGGGCAGTACCTGTTGGTCCACAGTAAGAAGTCACAGATATCTTGGTATCATACGTCATTTGTTACAGACAGCATATCTTTTATGTTTCATGACCCCTTCCACCTGCCTCAAGTCTTGTCACTGTGTCAGTAAGCAAGCACATCTACTCCTCTATCCTAAGATTCTTTTCCTGAATATTTTGAAAGGTGTATTTCAGTATAGTTGGTTCCTTGGTAATCCCATATATTTTATTTTATACAAACAGGATTCTGAGAAGGGGGTCCATGGGATTCATGAAACAAGTCTCAGACCCCCGATGGCACTGCAGAACCCTGTGCTAACTCAATCCTGAACATCATAAGTGCTCTGAAGAGGTTAACAAGTCAGCATAGATTTAAACCACCACAACCACTACACGAGAGGTGTGTCCACGCAGAGTGCCCAGGCATGTCTGTTGGTTGTGCCCAGCCCAGCCCCTTCCCAGTTCACCTCTACCCCCTCCCCAACTCTCCATCCACTGTGTGCCCAAGATGTGTCATGTTCTGCCCTGAAAGTAATTGTCCCAACCAATCACAGCAGGTAAATCTTTCTCCTTCAGGTTTTATTTTGAAGCAGCATCTTGAGTTCTGGTTCCTGAGGAGAACACCCCTTGTGGTCTAAAGTGTTCGGGGGGGGCAGGCAGGAAAGATGCTTCAACTTAACTGGTTAGTAATAAGTCCCTGATAGTAAAAAGAGGTGTTGGGCAAGCCCTTAGGAAATCTGAGGTAGGAGGAAGCAAAGGGCACCCACATCCCTTTTTATCCTTCCAAATATGAAAGGAATGTATGTTCATTAAAAGATGAAAACTCTGAATATATATGTGACCAAAGTGTGTAAGGTACCCAACACACAAATGATCTATGCGGGACCACGTTATACCACACACACTATAGATGCTTCTGCATCTGCATTTAAATTTTTTTTTAAATTTGAATGTAGTTGACACAACGTCATGTTAGTTTGAGGTCTACAGCGCAGTGATTCAGCTTCTCTATCCTCCATGCTCACCGCAAGTATCACCACACAACTCTAATTACAATATCCCGGACTCAATTCCCTACGCTGTGCCAATGTCCAGCATTTTTTTGATCATAGATAATCACGTTTGGACTGCATGGTATTCCACCATATGCCTATCCCTTTTGTGTAAGGGTTCCTGTTTGGTTAATTCCTAGAATTGTCCAAAAAGGCTGTCCTTGCTTGTTCTTCCTGCAGGGCTATAGAGTAGTACAAACTGCTGACATTTTTTGAGCACTTGTTCCAAGCTCTGCATTGAGTCCTTTGGGTCGTTTGAGCCACAAGTCAACCCCATTTTTGAGGAAGCTCAGGCCCACGGCTTAAGTTCCCATAACTTGCGAGACCGTGAGTCCTGTCAGAACCAGGCTTTGTGACCCCAGAGCGCCCAACCCTCGCAGATTTGTCCTCTGGGCGAGGTTTGTTTCCGCACACTCTTGACAGCCAGGATTGTATTTTTCTTTTAAATAGTTTGCAATTTGGTACATAAAAAATAACGTACACATATTTATGAGGTTGAACATCTTTTTGTATACTTACTGTATTAACTGCTTATTTTCTATCAGTGTTTGCTTTTTTCTCACTGATTGTATATTTGTATATATTAAGGACATCAATCCTTTGCCAAATACAGACTGCAGATATTTTTCCCATTTTTCAGGTTTTTGTCTTTTAACTGCAGATAAAGTTAAACCTTTGAAGTTATATAAATAAAGTTTATTTATAGTGTGTTTCTCCATACAGGAGTTTAAAAAATTTATGTATTCAAATCTGTCATTCTTTTCCTTTGTGGGCTTCCTTCAAGGAAGATACTGGGAATATTCTCCTTTACTTTATTCTTTTATTTTATTATGTACATTTTGACAAACACAAAAATAGTGGAAATATTCTATATTTTTCTCTAGTATTCTTATTTTTTTATTCATGTGTGGGAGATAATACTTTTGTTTCTTTTCACTTAAATAGCAAATTGTCTTGTTAGCATTTATTGAACAATCCCCCCGTACTTTGAAACGTCCGCTTTATCATGCTCTCGTTCCTGTATGTGCAAGCCTTTATCTGGACTCTCTGATCTTTTGCTGGATTCTATTAATTTCCATTGTATGTCTTTTCTTTTTTAGCTTTTAATTACCATCATTTCATAGTATTTTTTTAAGTCTTTAGTAATTTAGGCCGCCTCTTGCTATTCTTTTTCAAGATGGCTATTCTTATGCATTTATCCTCTCAGATGACATTTAGAATCAATTTATTGGGGTTCATTTTTTAAAAACTTCGAGTTCTGCTTGAAAAATGCATCCATTTTGGAGATTATTTTGGGCAGAACTGACCGCCGAGGCATACATAGCCGTTCTGGTGCCCACGGCCAACAGCGTGAATCCCACCGTTCAGTCAGCTCTGCACAGAGTGATGAAGGTCCCTGAGGGCCCCGGGCACGGCGAGAGCAAGCGGGCTGCCTCGCTGCTGATGACTTCACAACGGGGTGGTTGGCTCCTTAGAGCTGCAGCGCTAATTAGGCACACAGGTGTGAGGTCTACATACAAATGGAACAAAATCCACAGTTTATTTTTTATTTTATTTTAAAGTTTTTATTCATTTGACAGAGAGGGACACAGTGAGAGAGGGAACACAAGCAGGGGGAGCGGGAGAGGGAGAAGCAAGCTTCCTGCAGAGCGGGGAGCCCAATACAGGGCCCGATCCCAGGACCCTGAGACAATGACCTGAGCCGAAGGCAGACGCTTAACCCACTGAGCCACCCAGGCGCCCCCAAAATCCACAGTTTTAAAAACCATCATGTTAGGGTTTGGAGAATTGCAGACCTTGGCACCCCAGCTTCGGTTCTGAGGACAGTGGCAACTGCTCACCATCCACACTCCCCTCCTTTCCAGGGGAGAGACACAGCTGCGGTCGCTGTCCAGATAAGGAGAAGCTTCTGGCCGGCGCTGCGCGTGAACTGGCAAGTCTGGACCCCGGCGCAGTTTGTCAACATCAACTATGTCCCTTTGCAGGTGAGGGCCAGCCGGCACCATGCAGAACCAGAGGGGGCATCATCTTCCACCAGCCTTGTTTTAGCTGGGACTGATCGGCGGTTTTCTCTCTGCCCAGAATCAGTAGCAGTTCTGGATTTGGACAGACAAAGCAGGTGTCCACACCTCATCCACTGGTCCCAGAAATGTTTCTGAAAAGCCCCCAGTCCAGGAGCAGCTTGGATTTTCCAGGGGTGCAGTATTGCCAGTGCCTGGCCTTGCGGGTCACAGTCAAAAGTGCACGCAGGTGCCAAGCAGTGCCAGTGCCCAGCAGGATGTGCAGGGGAGGCACCGGCAGCCTAACCTGAAGTGAGGTCAGCGCACACCCGAGGAGCAGACAGACGGTGGGACCTGGGGTAGGGCAGCCCTTGAGGTGCCACACACATGAGGTTCAGCACTTCTGGGCACCGGGGGGGGGGGGGGCGTCGCAGTCTGAGGTGGGCTGCTGAAACTGCCCCGCGCAGCTCCACCACCTGTTCTGAGCAAGGTGGGAGCCTGGAGGGGCTCTAAGCTGCAGGAACAGCTCACCGGGGCAAGGCTGAGGGGCCCCACCATTGTGCACTGCCTTTACACACCAAGGACAGCTTGTGTGTCCAGCCCCAAGAGCATACACAAGGTTGGAGATGCTAGAGGGCTTTGGCACATATGTGTGCTCATGGCCTGGGTTTATTACAGCCTCGAAGCAAGCATATACAACTGGATCCTAGGAATCCATGCAGGCTTCCTGTGCTCCCTCCCATGAGGGTCACACAGAGCAAGCGCTCACCAAAAGAGCGTTGGTACCACCAAACGCAACATGTAGGCCATGTTTCTGCCCAGAGAAGCCCTGTAAAGACGCAGCACCTAGGGTTTTTTGGGAGGGCTGGTCACGTAGGCATCCTCTGCCTGGCACACACCAGAATTCCAGACTCCCAGGAGAGCAAGTGCTCAGCATGAACCGTGTTATTTTAGCAAGGAGTCCAGGCCTAGGGAGCCATTCTTATCAGTTGGGGAAAGGTGGGAACCCTCAGGAACTCTAAGTACCCAGGCCCCAAGGAAGGGCTAGCCTCTCAAACAGGACTAGCCTTTCCAAGGACTGCAACCTTAAGCTTTTTTTGCACACCATTTAAGTAACCTACTTGTTTTCACCCATGCTCTAGAGAGGAGAGACCTGGGCAGAATTCCCTTGAGCTGCAGCTCCACTGGAAGGCTGGGAAGAGGGAGGGAGGTGCAGGCTGGGTGGTCACACACATACACACACACACACACACACACACCAAGGAGTAGCAGAAAACCAGAAAGCAGTGACACACAACCACAGTATTGCAGGGTTAAAGCAAAATGGGAATCAGTTTCATTGGTTTTAACAATGATCTTATCAGTGATGTTCCCAAGAGCAATTTCAGCTCCCTGAGGGCTAAAGCCAAACTGCTGTGAATTGAGTAGTGGATGAAGTAGAAATCATAAGTCTGCAAAATTCTCTCAAGAAGTTTGTGAAGAGGTGGGGAGAAATGGGAATGGGCTTTGAAGCGAAGAGAGGCCATATGCTACCCTAAAGAGGGGGGCATGGGATTTGGGCAGAAGCAGAGAGGTGCTTTAGACAGAGGCCCTTCTTTACTAAGACAGGAGAGAGGTGCCTGTTCACGGGGGATGCCTGTGCACACCTTCTCTTTCCTCTGGGAGGGCAGAGGGCAGGGCCAGACTAAGGGGAGTGGAGGTGAGATGGGTATCTTGAGGGGAGTAAAGACAGGGTGAACTTGTGGAGAACGACAGAGCTGACTGGAGACCCTCCTGCGCATGGGCACAGGGCCCCAGGGAAGCAGGGAGGATGGAGGTTTTCCCAGGAGTACAACTAAGGAACAAGAGGGGAAGGCAATGAAGGCTCTGAGCCATGGATCCTAAGGTATTTAGAAAAGGAAATAAAGATATGGAAAGGCAGAATGGCTGAGGATGTGAAGGGATCTGTGGATGGGAGAGTGGGAGAGCCTGGAAAATGGGACCCTCCTGGGCAGCCTAGGGACAGAAAGCTGGGAGGCTGTGATTAGTTTCCATTTTAGGTGGTTGCAGGTAAGTGCTTAAGGGGCAGTGGAGTTTATTAAACAAATATTTACTGAGCATCTGCTGTATGCCCCACTGCTCCAAACTCTAGGGATACAGTGACTAACAAGATAGAACAGACTGCTGCTTTCATGGAGCTTATATGTCAGGGAGACTCACTGACTAAAGGTAGTTTCAGGTGGGAGTACCTCCATCAGATCATCGAAGCAGGGTCATGGCCTGGGCTGGCGGGGTATCACCGGTGGGCTTGGTGAAGCCACCACATGATGTCCAGTCCTGGGGTGAGAAGCTGAGCCAGGAGCGAGTGCTCGGTGAAGGAGGATACAGGACAGTTATGGTCTCTTTTCCCTACTGGCCTGTAACATCGCTAGGCACAGACTGTCCTGCTCACCCCTCTAGCACAGTGCTTTGTATGAAGTAAAGGCTCAGTGAATACACTGGTGGGTGGATGGACTGACCAACGAGTGAGCTCTGTCCTGGGGGATCGGTGACTGGTAAATACGGTCAGGGCCTCACTGTGGCCTGTGTTCTCTTGGCAGTTCCGAGTGCTTTTTGCCAACCTGGTGTCTCTGTTCTGGTACATCTACCTGGCCTCTCTGGGCAAGTGAAGAGGACCTGGAGCGAATGCAGACACCCTGCCCATGCGGGTCTAGGGACCACCTGCGTAGGGTGAGGGAGCAGAAACAACCTAGTCAGGACTTTGTCTGACTCCACCTCATGTGATTGAGGATGGAGAAACAAATCTTTTAACATAAGAATCTTGTGTCTTAAAAAGGCAGTCACTGTCTTCAGGTGATGCCGCCTTAGACTCATAAAATGCAGTAGTGTTGACTTCACTTGTCACCTTGAATTGAATTAGGACAATAAACTATAATGTAGCTTTTTCTGTGGTGATTTTAATTTTTCAGAACGATTGTGTCACTTTGGTAGAAATGGGTGGCCAGAGGGCTGCCCTGATTTTTTTTTAACTAAAAAAAAATTGTGGTAAAATCTGTAATACTATTGCCTGCCCACATGGAGCCACTGGAAAGGGGCCCTTCCGGAGCAGGACTTTACCCTGACATTTGGAAGCCCTGTGAGAAGTGTATGCCACCCTTTCAGCTGACTTTTTTCTGCTCTCATTGTTCCTCCTCACCTCTTCTCACTCTCAGTACCCCATTCTTGTTTCATGGATACAATACCCTTGGATCTTTTTTTTTTTTTATACATGAGCTTTTCTTTTTTTTTTTTAAAGATTTTATTCATTTATTCATGAGAGACAGAGAGAGAGAGAGGCAGAGGCAGAGGGAGAAGCAGGCTCCCCGCCGAGCAGGGAGCCCGACGCGGGACTCGATCCCAGGACCCCAGGACCACGACCCGAGCCGAAGGCAGACGCCCAACCGACTGAGCCACCCAGGCGTCCCTACCCTTGGATCTTAATTTATTTTTATATGCTGTTTCTATTTTCTCAGGGTTCATGGGGATTTTTTTTCCATTTGTTTTGCTGTTTTTCCCAATCAGGATTTCCCCAAAAGTCTGCTGATTGTGCATCAGTCTTTAAGAGTTGGAGCCACTCAGGCAGTACCCTCACTGTGGGCTGACAAAGCAGGGACCCAGTTTTGTTGGCGATCACCCATTTTCAGTAACTGAGGCCTTTTCTCTTAGACTGGCCAGTTTGCCTAGAGAGGAATTCTTTAATTTCTTGCCCGGGGAAGGGTCGTGAGATTTTTAAAAATGTAAGTCAGATTATGTCAACTCCTAACTTAAATTTTTTTTTTTTAAAGATTTATTTATTTATTTATTTGAGAGAGAGAATGAGAGATAGAAAGCATGAGAGGGAAGAGGGTCAGAGGGAGAAGCAGACTCCCCGCTGAGCAGGGAGCCCCGATGCAGGACTCGATCCCAGGACTCCAGGATCATGACCTGAGCTGAAGGCAGTCGCTTAACCAACTGAGCCACCCAGGCGCCCCCAACTTAAAAACCTACAAAGATGACCCAGCAATTCCATTTCTGGGTACATACCCCCCAAAACTGAAAGGGACTTAAGAGATATTTGCACTCCTACGTTCATAGCATTACTCACGGCAGCCAAAAGGTGGAAGCAACCAAGTGTCCATTGACGGATGGATAAACAAAATGTGTTATATCCATAAAGTGGAATATGATTCAGCCTTAAAAGAGGAAACTCTGACATGCTACAACAGGGATGAACCTTGAGGACACTATGCTAAGTGAAAGGAAAAATACCGTGTGATTCTTACATGAGGTCCCTAGAATTGTCAAATTCATACAGACAAAAGGGAATGGTGGGTGCCAGAGGCTGGGGGATGCAAATAGGGGGTCAGTGTTTAATAGGGACAGAGTGTCACTTTGGGAAGATGAGAAAGTTCTGGAGATGGATGGTGGTGGTGGTGGTTGTTGCACAACTGTGAATGTACTTAATGCCACGGAACTATATGCTTAAAACTGGTTAAGACTGAGGCGCCCGGGTGGCTCAGTTGGTTAAGCGTCTGCCTTCGGCTCAGGTCATGATCCCAGGGTCCTGGGATCGAGCCCCACCTTGGGCTCTCAGCCTCAAGGCTAGAGCTCCTTCCAGTGCCCCCCAAGGAGTGGTCCCATCCCCGCCCTGCCCATCCAGTCTCACACACGTGTGCACAGGCACACACACTCCACAACAGGGTCACAGAGAAGCACACACACACGCTCCCCTCCACCCTGTGGCATGGTCACAAACACACAAGTGGTGTCACATACAGCCCCAGGACCCCGCCTCTCACACACACAGGTCCCACAGCCCTGTCTCACAAACACATATACACGCCCTGCGGCCCATCTCTCTCACACACACACACACACCCCGCCGCCCCGTCTCTTACACATGCCCCGATGCCTCGTGTATCTCTCACACACGCCTCGCCGCCCCGTGTATCGCTCTCACACACACACCCTGCCACCCCGTCTCTCTCTCACACACACGCCCCACCGCCCCGTCTCTCACACACACGCCGCCCCATGTCTCTCACACACACACGCCCCGCCGCCCCGTCTCACACACACACACGCCCCGACGCCTCGTCTATCTCTCACATATACCCCCCGCCGCCCCGTCTCTCACACACACACACACGCCCCGCCGCCCTATCTCTCACATATACCCCCCCGCCGCCCCGTCTCTC